GTCTTGATGGACGGACATAATAAAATCCAGTGTCAGTATTCAGTCCTCGTGCTTTTCTGTCCTGGCAATACATGATGATCATTAAAGAAAAGAAAGTGAAGATGATGATGCTGCAAAAGTTTCAATGTCTTAACCACAATCTCAAAAATGAAGATTGATGACATACTCAGAGATGGATGACTGTCCACCTTCTCAACTATTTCATTTCAACAATGAAGTGGTTTTCCTTTCTACCTCATATTAGTTGAGTGCTTGGCATTTTATTAGTTTAGTGATAGAAAGAAAACACAACATTTGTTACTACAGTAATCCACTGAAGTGGTACGAGTTTGTTTTTATTTTAACAAGAACTGCATCCAAAATATTGACGAAAAAAAATATTATTGCACTTAAAATCACTCATCAGTTTGTGACTGTCTAGAGTTTTTGTTATATTTGTTTGTATGAAGATTAATAGAAACAAATATAAAAGTAAATATTAGGAATAAATATTAAAACACATATACAAGACGATGATCAATTTAGTGAGTGTGTACTTTAAACAGTTCAGTCTCTCCCCATCTGAAAATATCTTATGTACTAAATGACTTGAGATTGATGCCTGGTTACTTTAAACTTTTTACTCCTTTTTCTTTGAAAATGAAAATTCAGCATTGGCACATTGCCCTGAATCATCTGTCTGCATTGTTTTTAACATTATTCTTAAAATCTACACTTTTCACTTTCTCTGATTTACTCCACAGATGCACACTTTTAGTAGAAAATGACAAATAGTTGGCTGGAAAGCAAGAAGCCAGAAGATCATTCTACAAAAGTGCATAAGAAGAAACAGTTAACATAGGACACTAAATACATAGAATATCTTCTGAAATATTCTCTCAAACACTTATTCCAACATCCTTTCTACTTTTCAAATGACTACAAAAACCTGTTTCAGGATTGGCATGAGTTACCTTTCTTGATATCCTTTAATCTCATTCATGGTTTACAATCTCCTCCCTTTCACTGACAATAAACACAATTTACTTGAATGCCTGATCTGAATAATGTGTATTTTACCACAGAACACTGTGAGATTGTGCTGATCTAGTCAACTGATTAGTATGAAAGTACCAAGTACACAAGTTTCTTCAGGATTATTTTATAGCTGAGTAACCTCATGGGAGAGTGTCTGTTTATACATGTGTAGTAAATTCTCCTTTGATTGATTGTCAAGTTACAACTAGCCTGTACAACTTATTCTCAAGTCCTCAAAATTGTTAGATATATTCTGGATGGATCTCATATATAAGCATGTCTTAATATTTGACCTTAAAATTCTGAAGATTGATTCTTCAGGAAATCTCCCTTTATGAACTAATGCTGTATAATGTTTATTTATAGAAAGAAAACAGTTTAATTTAAATTTCTAATAATAAAGAAAAAATAGAATCAACAATGGTCAAAATTTTTAACCTTTTCAACTCAAAACAGAAATAAAAATCCATTAAGATAAAATTAAAAATATAAAATAAAATTCTTTCTGAATTGCCTCAGATAATTTTTAGCTGTCAAGCAATGCTCACCTGTTGATCAGTTTTGAAGAAAGTAAATAAAATCAATAACATTAACAAGCTGGGGTCATCTTGATCATTGATGTTCACACATGCAGAAAATATTAGAAATATATTTTTGAGGATGATACTTGCATAAAATTTTAAAGAAATCTGGTAACCAGAAAATCCTGAAACATTTTGTGAAAAAGAGTCCATCCTGTGAAGATGTTTGTTAAAGGCATTCTGAGTGATTTCATCTATATATAAAATAAAACAACTCAGAGGTGTCATTTTGAAGAAAGATTCTAAAAAGAAGTTCTAAAATCAAGACACAATTATTTCCATACAATTTATTCTTTGATTAATCATTAAAGTTTTTAAAATAATTTATTTTTTCACTTCAAATATTACTATTATAATGGGCCTAAATGTGATACAAATTTGAATGTGTGACCTTCTCAGGAAAGTTCACATTTTTCCACTATAATTCAGGGTTCAATGTAGACAATGTAAAAATCGATGAAAAAGCAGAACTATACACAAGACACTTTAAGAGAGGAACAGTCTTAGAATGGTAATTGCTCTTGGAAATATGAAATGATCAATCTTTCATCTAATTTTAAAAAGAGAGAGAAAAAAAGAACATCCTTTATAATTTTGTACAGATGAATATCCAATAAGATATATAATTGAGGTGTGTAAGGAAAGCTCTCAAGCAAATTTGAATATTTCAAAAATTGGTTGTATGGCTATGATATAATTTGGCAATGAATTAGAAGAAACCTTATTGCACTTGCATGAACACTAGCCCATGGGGTTACTCAGTCAGCAGGGAGATGCCATTGAGTGGGCATATATGGACTGACTGTTGCATTAACAATGAAGATTCTCAAGGTTTTCGTTGAATCTTGAACATTCATCTTCAAATAATTAAAAAGGCTTTAAGGGATCATGCAATGAATGAAAGTCAAGTAAAAGTTTGATATTGAGGCTTTAAGTTGAAAGAGATCAACATTCTGGAAAGTCATCAACAATTAGAAAACCTAAATATGTTTAATGAGAGTGGACTGCAATTGAAAGAAACTGATAATTGATAATTCACTGTGCAACACTTAAAAAGTACAGAATATCTGTGGTCATTTTTATATTCACAATGACATGAAAAATACATTTCAGGCCTTCTTTTTGTTGAATAAGGTATAGTTTTTGCAAAATTGTCACTTTCAAGAATCTCGGCAAAAATGTTAAAAATAAATTTCTTACAACATTGTGCTTACATATTTTGTATATGTTATTATGTGCTTATATTTAACCGTGTTTATCACTTAATACATTATGCCTTAAAAACTGTATTTAATATATTTTGTATTTCTTTATAGTTTTTCTATAGGTTTCGAAAATTACGTCAAGACAGTGCAAAAATGATCCAAACAGATTCTGCTACATATGTGGCGAATTAACATTTGCTAAAGAAAAGCACAGCATTACAAGTGTTATCAAGAAAATGTACAAGGCGTACTTTCATTGTGACATAGGAAACCAAGACAAGCCATGAGCTCCTCATGTCTGTTGCCTTACATGTGTGAAGACACTGAGCACATGGTTTGCAAGAAAAAATGTTCACATGAAGTTTGGTGTGCCAATGATTTGGCATGAGCAGAGGATCATTCTAATGATTGCTATTTCTGTCAGCAAGACTATATGGGCTGTACTACGGCAAAAAAAAAGAAATAAATTGTTTACCCAAATTTGCAATCAGCAATGCGCCCAGTTGAGCACTCAAAAGATTTGCCTGTGCCAAAACCCCCAGATCAAGAAATGTGGAGTTCAAGCAGTGGAGATGAACATTCCAGTAATGAAACAGTAGAACTTAATGATCTAGAAAACATGAATAAACCAATACTATTTTCTCAAGAGGCTCTAAATGACTTATGTAGAGATCTCTATTTAACCAAAGACAAAAGTGAGCTTCTAGCATCAAGGCTTAAAGAATGTAATCTTCTTAGAAAAGGAGTGAAGATGACATTGTACAGAAAACTTTCACAAAAACTGCATGTATTGTTTACCATGAAAGATGATTTATGCTTCTGTAATGACGTCGCTAAACTTTTTGAACAACTAGAAATAACATATGATAACACCAACTGGTGACTTTTCTTAGATGCATCCAAAGAACGCATCAGAGCTGTTTTGCTACATAATGGCAACACTTTGCCATCTGTTCCCATAGCTTACAGCGCAACCATAAAAGAATCATATGAAAATTTAAAAACAATTCTAACGAGCGTACAATATAATAACCATAAATGGCATATTTGTGCAGATTTCAAGATTGTAGCTATGCTTACAGGCTTTCAGCCTGGCTATACTAAATTTTGCTGTTTCCTATGCTTATGAGACTCCAGAGCAAGAACTGAACATTATGTACGCAAGCATTGCCCCGTTAGAGATGAAATTGAGCAAGGGAAATATAATATTAAGCTCAAACCACTTCTGCAAAGTGATAAAATCCATTTACCACCTTTGCATATTAAACTTGGTTTGTTTAAACAATTGGTGAAAGCCCTGGACAAGGATTCCCTCATATTTGCATAGCTTGCAGAAAAGTTCCCTTCCCTAAGTCAAGCTAAAATAAAAGAAGGTATCTTCATAGGCCCTCAAATTCAAAAAATTGTACTAGATGAAACTTTCAACACACATCTCAAGAAAAAAGAAAAATTTGCTTTTGAGTCATTCAAGAAAGTTTGTGATAAGTTCCTTGGAAAATATAATTCAGAAGACTATATGCAAGTTATAAATGATCTAATACGTCATTATCATGATATGGGGTGTAACATGTCCCTTAAAGTTCATGTACTCCACTCTCATTTGGACTTCTTTGTGGAAAATCTTGGTGACGTGAGTGATGAACATGGTGAGAGATTCCATCAGGATATTTCAATGATGGAGAAATGTTTTAAAGGAAAATGAAACCCTGGCATGTTGGCAGACTACTGCTGGAATATAAAAAGGGAGGATGACACTATACACAAGAGGGTTAAGAGGACAAATGTTGTATAAACTGAAAGTTCTTTGTTTTTTATTCATAACCAATAATAATAAATTATGATTTAAAGTACATGAAAACGGTGCCTAATCTAAGGGAAAAAAGGTCAGATTTAGTATCAATATACTTTTCTAACACTTAAACAGGTCTTATGTGGCATGTACTTTTTTTAACTTGAAATTTGTTGCACAGTGTAATATGAAATTAAATGATGATCTGGCGATTCCATGAACTATCTTGAAAGTAATCAGTTATTTGAAACATCTAGATTACCCATTTTTCATGACTTACAGAGGATTTTTTGGCAAAACATTACACTATAACCCATGTCAGACACCACTACAATCTAAATTTGGCTATATGTGGCTTCTGGCTTTCACCAAATCTAAAAATGTTGTTGAGGCTTATGGTTACATTACATTGAAACACTGGTTTCTGTATGATCACTAAAGTTAAGCAATGTTGAGCCTGGTCAGTACCTTGATGGCGACCACTTGGGAATATCAGGTGCTGTAAGCTTGGATGTATGGGTGGTGTAATAGAGCTGAATTGTTAATCTGATTCCTGTTGAGTTTGTTATATTCACCTCTGCACAAATACCCTTGGGAAAGGTATGAATCCATCTCTTTTCCCACCCAGCTATTGGGGTGGGGTGGAGGGGAGAGATGGATTCATACTTGGTATGACTGGTATCATTAAACCATTATTATCTCAAAAAAATTCTTATATTCTAAAAATATTTTCTGGCTTCAATGGGTTGATAACCCATAAGAATCAATCAATCAAATTTTGAATAAGATTAATATGACAAAACTGTTGGCAGCTATCTTGAAAGGAAATTGTTTTTAAAGCCCCACACATATTGTCTTGAAGGGAACTAGGGTGCCATAGCCCTTGGCAGGCTACTCTATCATTCACAGATAGTTTGAGCCTCATTGGGTGCCTCACCATAAATTAGTAGTAAACAAACTAGTCATGTATATTGTTATTTTATTTTATTAGGTTCACTCTAACCTAAATGTCTCACACCTGTGACCTTGTGTCTGATGAAGCATAATGTTAATGTTTGAAAGTCTGTCTTGCAGAATAATTTATAAGTGTAGAGAATTTGATCTAGACTAGGTGTTCCTCTAGTATGACCTTGTGTCAGCCTAAGGTAAATATGTAGATGTTTGGTAGAAAGCAACAGTTAGCAAGCTATTCTTGCTACTGTAGTTAGATTGAATCTCACAGGGTGCTTATTTGTTTTAAAACTGTGTCAGTCTTGACCAAATTAAGTAGATAAATGACTTTATAGTTTGTAACTCTACCTTGCAGACCGCTCCAATTTTATGACCTTGAGCCAGACTAAATTAAGGTTAGTAAATTTAATGTTTTTGATAGTTGCATATTTTCTACTGATGCGAAAGTTAAAAACCAGGAATCTGAATTATAATTTTCAAGGTCAGTAGGTTGTCCTTATTTTGAAGGTTGGTGTAATATGATCTTCCAGCTTCCATTTTCCACAGACATTTAGCCTATTGCCATATTGAGCTGCTTCTGCTTCTTCTATGTGCTGTGTCCCTTCAGAAAATAGGCAATTATGACACTTAACAACTTCCTATCTTGTGTGGTGCTTAGCGGTTTTTCTCCCTTTGCTGAGGCTTCTACCCGCCATCCCTGTTCAGCCATTCATTCAGAAAAGATCGTCCAATAGGTCACTCACTACCATGGGGCAAATTGAGGGCAAGAGATATAACTCTTTCCTTCTATATGCTCTGTGTGATTTAAGTTTTCCAGGCCTTCCTTCCTCATTATGTATCCAAGGAATTACAGCTCTCATCCTGATTCTGTGTAATATGTTCTGTTACCATTTCTTTTAAGACTTTCTTGTTACTTACTCACTCAATCTATTGAATTTTCAGTATCCTTCTGTAAAATCACATTTCTGTTGCCTCTAATTTTTACATCTGTAGAGTGGTTGTCCAGTATTCCCTGCCATATAAGAGGATGGATATCACATAAAAATTCAGCACTCTTTTCTTGGCTTCTAATTAAATTTTTCTGTTTCTCATCATTTTGCTTTTGGAATGTTTCTTTCACTAGTTCAATGCATATTCGAATTTTAGTGTCACATTTTCCACCTTCTATTAAAACACTTAGCTGAGTAAATATCAATTCAGTTATTTAAGAGGAATATGTACAGCCATTGCTTTAGAGAAGGAATTTTAGAGTTCATTTGGTAAATTATCACTTTTTTGACAACCAACCAAAATCCAATAATCTTTGAAGTTGAGAAACATCAACAAGTGGAAATTTATGATTTCTTATCACAGATGTAAAAAGAAATATGAAACATGACTTGAAATTTATTTGCAAAACAATTTACTCTTAAAAGTATATAACCATTTCAGTAAAAGCTGAAATAGATCTATCAAATATTGAAGAGATTTTCCAAATTATTAGGAACTATTTCAAATTATATCAAACTTTCAGTATTGATTTTATGGCAAAAATAGTCAAAGCTAAAATAAAAAGAAAAGGGATATGTAGTGACTTAACTTCTATTTTTGTTTAAAGTTGCGAAAAAAAGAAAATGATTTGAAATAGATGAAGTAAAAAAGTATCATGCAAATTGGTTGATTATGACATATGACTTTATTATGACATGAATATTTTATAACATCAAAAGAATAAATCTTTCCTAAATGAACTTTCTCTTGAAAAGGTGGAGTGTATGATACAGACATTTTCTATTATTTTTAAATGAATAGATTTGGTTGGCAGAAATTTGTTTTTTTGTATATTGCTCATTGTATTGTATCATTTCCCTACAAATAATTATATTATATACAATCAGAATAAAAGTTTTAATTGGAGTGATATTTATATAGAACAATAAATCACCATTAGTCAAATGCCATACATGATACACACCGAGGTAATCATGTCTCTTTTGATTTGTGACTAGTGAGACAGAAGATTTTAATACAGTAGGCTACCATTTCCTTCTGTCATAGAGTGGTTGATAACCAACAACTCAGTCTGTCTTGCTATTCAACCCATAGCTGGATATAGACAGTAAGCTATAAAGTAAGGTCTTTTAATTTTAATACAATAAAAATAAAGCTTATGAGCTGCTATCCCCTAAATGATACAAATTTGAAAACTCTAACCAAGCAAATTATTTTAATTCTGAGTGAGATTTTTCCACAGCATTTCTTAAAGACAATTCATGTCCAAAAACCTGTATGAAAAATAATTGCCACAATGTTCAATAAAGCCATCAATGGGAAAATCAATTCAAGAATATTTTAAATCATTTCACCCAAGCAAGACAATAAAGCCACTAAAACACACAGGGGGACTGAATGTGAGAAACAAAACATTATTAATGAGAGATAACTATAAAAGAACCACAAGTACAAAAACAGAAGATAATGTTTGACATTGCTTTTAAATTTTTGAAGGTTAAAGTTGAATGGAAAGCAAGAAGCCAGAAGAGAGTTCCATATATGAGAAGTGCAAGAAAAGAAACTGTTATTATAGAACTTATGATTACATTTAGTTATTTCAACTGTAAAATGATGAGATCTTGCTGTCAAACTAATTCTGCACTTAAATTCATAAAATCTAGGTATCAAAGAGAAGAGATCATCAGAAAAATTATCATGAGATTGTTTATAGAAATGCAAAGAGAAGTATCATCTGGTAGAGGTATTTACAAGGTTAATCTGGCTGAAATCTACAAATAGTGTCTAAAGAGGATTGACTTCCCAACAGTAGTAATAGTTACTAAGAATGTTATAAATAATGTAATATATGTAGATATAAAATAAGTAGCACTATGGGTTTACATGTCCTTATTTAATATAAATTTGGATATGACAAATTAGAAATCACTTTCAGTCTGAACTAGGTAACTGAGAAATAATTCTGATATAAAAATTTAAAAAAAAGATATTCAATAAAATAAAAAATCAATATATTTTCAAAATAAGCTCTATACATTTTCAACTTAAAAAAAACAGTAAACAAAAAACAAAAGTTGCTTCAATAAAACTGTTCTTAGTCTCGAGGATGGCTTGATGCAGTTTTGGAAGTGACTGCTTGCCCAGATCAAATTGCTTTCATTCATGGTGGCCATTAGTAGGGCTGCTGGCTTGCCTCACTCTTAATGATACACCAGGTGTATTACTCTAGATAATTCAAATAGAGAGAACTAGAGAGACACATGTTTGGAGTGATGTGATTGTAAAAATTCCCAGCAAACTATACCACTGTCAAAAATGTGATGCAGGAGGGAGTTCAAATAAGATGTTCTGCTGGAACATGGTAAGTTTTCAATCAAGAGTTTGACCACTGTGTCTAATACCTTGATGTCAGCTATGACACTGGTACTGAGGCCTTGTAGAAATGATATTGTATGTCATAGTACTCATTGCTTATCAGCTTCAAAGGCATTACAGATGTAGTGGACTTGATGCGAACTACTGTGGGTCATTCCTGGAAGCTGAAATATTATTGTTCCTGATATATCTGAGAGACAAATTACAATGCTAAAATCTGATATATTCTATGTAACATTAAGCAATCTTCCATTTATTGACAGCTAAATATATTATATGTAATGACTGACTGCTTGTATCTGAATATACCTGTCTACTAGTGTGGTTAGGCTATACCTGTTGCAGATGCCTGGTCAGGCATGTTTGTGTTTGTTCAACATTCACAGAGAACACCTGTGGTTTATACTACAACTCTGCTGAGTGAACTTTAGTTACAGTTAATGGGAATGAGCCCATTATCTGATGTGATTAACAGTCTGAACAAAGTTTACTCAAATGCCTGATATACCCTATATATATGTTTATGAGGTGCCAATTAATAGTTTGGTGACTTTCTACTGGTTTCATTACCAATATAAAAAAAAAAATCACACACACATACGAGCATTCAGAACTTTACAAATAACACTATTGTATTTAATAACATATAAGTCCTGATTTTTCTCCCAACAGTTGTTCATTAAATATCCCCTGCATCTTGTATGTAAAGTTTAGATATCTCATATTTTTCCAAATATTATGAACAATCATCACTGTCCATGGCCTAATGATATAGTAATGTAATATTAAATGTAAATGGTGTAGTCTTATATGTAAAGTTGAAATATCTTATATGTAAATATCTTCTTATATGTAAAGTTGAAATACCTTATATGTAAATTTGAAATATCTAGCTGGCTAATATTTATCCAAATGGCCTAGATGACCAGAACTTGTAGATAGCTGAACTCCATAATATTGTATTATTAAATGTAAATTTTTGGGATCTTATATGCCTTCAAATACAGTAATTTCAAATAGTAGTTCATTTTTCTTTTATCTGTTTAACTATGCCTTTGAGACAATGTTTCCCTTCTGGTCCCAGGAATATTGGAAACAAAAAAAATGAAAATATTTTGGAAAATTTTAAAACTTTTCAATGTTACATAATCTAAATATTTAAATGTATGTGTTGACAGAAAAAAAGGAA